CGATCAAAATTATTTTTCATTGATAATAATAAATTTATCCATAAGGAAAATTTATCGTTTCGATATGTAAAATTGTTAATCATCGTTTATGATGATTTATTTATATTTATATATATATGAATCATCGATTTCAAATTAGTTTTTATACATATATGCTTGTTCAATAAATTTAAAAAATTGTTATTGTAAAAAATTTAATTATAAAATTAATAAATAATAATTATTTAGAACTATATCAATCATATTAAATAAACTTTAATGAATAATAATTTAAATTTTCAAATTAATTTAATTATTATAATAATTACAATTTTTAACAACATCTTTATCCATTGTATTCAGAACAAAAAATTATAGATTATATTCGAAAAAGATTCGAAATTAAATTTTAATTTATTTCGATTTTTTAATCGAAGTGATTAAACATTATTAGTATTATTATTATTTTTAATTATTCAAAATTTGTATTTGCCAATATTAATATTTCTATTAGACTCGACGACGACTTCTTGAAATCAATTTGACAGTTTTTTTTGACAGTTTACCTTTAATTAATAATCCTTAATAATCTTCGATAATAATAAACACTTTGGGCCATAAAAATCCATTGAAAAAAATAATTACTCGTTTATTTTTAATGACACACCTATTTTCGTATTTAGATTATATATAAAACGGCACAACGGTTATTATTATTATTGTTTCTTTGAAGAAGAAATTATCGAAACGACTCGTCGTTAAACTAAACATTATCCACATTTTATCTATATAGATTCATTTATGGTTTGTCTCGGTTTTTTTATACCAGCTGTCCATGGGTGACTACTCTCCCCTCTCCCCCAAAGAGGCAACGAAACACTGGAGAGAAGCGAATCAAGGTTGGTTGTCTCTCAAGGGATACCTCCATTCTCTAGGTCTTCAGCAAGTTGGAAGGGAGAGGGAGAGGGGGGAGGGGAAGGTCCGAGAGGTCGTAAAAGTTTCGTTCTAGTTGAACGATAGAAGAAGATTAGTATATGTATATATATATGTGAAAACAGATGAAATATAATAGACACTCGTGGAATCGTATGTCTGGTTGTAGTTTTTAATTATTCGTGGCCCAGTAATATTAGTGATATTTCGTACAATCGTGCGGTGAATGAAACGATACACGAATGAATAAAATGATAAATTCGGTGAACTGGATTCGTATTTCAACCGTTCGATTCAGTGTGGTTCTCGTTTAAAAAGAATATATATTGGTCGCCGTAATTCACGTGCAAGATTCGGGCCTAGTATGAAAGTTTGACGGAACGAAATCACTAACGAATATTCGTTTATATCGTTACATATCGATAGTCGAATTAAATTAATATAATTATTAAATTGTAAAATATTGTTTGTATTAATTTATTTCTTTTTTTTTAGTTTTTAAATTAATAATATTAATTGAAGAGTTTTTATAAAATTTAGTGATTGTTTTAATCTATTCTTAATTTATATTTAATATATTTTTTTTTAAAACAAAGATCAATCGAATTAATCTTGCTCCAAAGTTTGATCTAATCGAAGGTGAGGTCAAAATTAGTGTCAGAATTCAACAAATAGAATATTATTGAAGAGAATATTATAACTTTTTTTTCGGGATATATAAATATTATAATTAATATTTTCTTTTTTTTTTTTTTCATTCAACTTTTGAACGTTAATATTTATTTTAATTCATTCAACTTTATCATTCGAACTCGAACGAATTTTAAATATTTTCCAACGAATCGAAATTACATTTAGCATGAAAATTATATAACCTGTTTCGGTATCTTAATTATCCGTTCCGATGATTCCATTTTCGAAGATTTTTTTTTTTTTTTTATAGAGTTAATCTTTCATCGAGCAAAATCAAGATTATTCTTCTCTTTATCAGAGTGATCTCAAGACGTGCTATTCGAACCACAGTATCGAATTTTATACAATTTTAGAATATTAATAATATTATTTATCAAAACGATTTAGATCTCGAATGAATTAACATTTTAGATAATAATAATTTTTATTAGGTAAAATTTTTTAATTTGAACGAGCTAATTTGCATAGAAATAAAACATAAACAGAATGCATAATAAAGCTTGTCCTTATCCATGTTTACGCTCCATGCATATCGTTCGATCGATCGATAGATCGCAACTTTCATCCGATTTTTACCTTGCGCGATCGCAATTAATTCAATTGCAAACGTAAACATTGAAATTAAAAATGTCACAACAAAAAAAAGAGATTGCAGGAAGCAATTACACGACACAATTACACGTATAAAAATGATGTCGCAAACATAAATACAGAGTAAGATATACATATACATATATCAAAAATGGCAATGACATTTATAAAATCGTTAAAAATATTAGGAATATTCGCGAAAAATCTTTTTTTTCTCCAATAATATTAACCTTTCCTTCCCCACCTCTTACCACCCTCTCATTCTCCCTCCTCCACCCCAATACTTTCCAAATTTTCCATCTTTTGTGCAACAAAACTATTTTCTTTTTCTTTCTTTCTCATAGAATATTTCTCAACAAAGATAAACAAAAATTTAAACTCACGGTACAATTTATTAGCAAAATTAATCGAAACGTAAGAAATTTTCAATAGAAGAATGTGAACATGTGTCGGCAAGGCGTGTTCATTTGTTGATATCACTGTATTAATTTCTGCGAAAATAAAACAATAAAACAAATTATAACAGTAGCTCGACTGGATAATAAATTAATTAACTCGATCGATCAATGCGAGCTAGGTTATCTCGATCGTCCAAGGAAAAAATTTATCCTCGCCTCTTTCATTCGGTCGAAAAATATTTATCGATCGAGGCGTTTCGACGTTTCGTTGCGCGATGTGGGAGGGGGGGGCAGGGGGGGGGGGAATGTAACGAATCGACTTATGTTATGAATTACATAAGTGAACGATGCGTATATTATCGCGGATGCATACGAACGGAATTGACAACTTCGAGCGGTCTGATTGCGTGAGAAAATTATATCGTATACATAGGAGGGTAAAAATTTATTTATCAAATCTCATCTATTTTCGTCGATCGATTTTTTTTTTTTTGCGATAAATCAAGGAAGCTTAAGTTAATATCGTCGAAAGGAGATCGGAGGAGGAAAATTTTTCCATTATTAGATATTTCTATTAGTGATTGGCCGATAAAATATTCTAACAATATTATAAATTAATAATGCAATTTATATTGCAAGTTGTATTGATCGTTGACATCAACGTCACCGCGTCGATGTTATAAATACCTATAAGATAAAGTCACGAAAGTGCAGTGTTACTGAACAGCTTAACGCAGAGCACAGATCCTCGATCCTCGAATCGAGTCTAGTACGATCTATCGATCGATCAGATCGATTCTGAAGTTGGATAAGAAATATATATATATATATATATATATATATATATATTCTAATTTTTCTAATTTTTCTAATTTTTCAGTTCACCCCTTTTAACGCCGCGTTTTAAGTAAAAATTACGAAGGAAAAAGAAAGAAAAATCCTTTCGAGAACATGAACAAGAAGATTCTCGTTCTGCTGACAATTCTTCAACTTATTCACGCCGACCGGCGTTCCACCCTCCCCCACTCCTTGGATTGTTCAAACGGGGAGGACGAGAAAATCGGTTGCGCCGATCAGAGCCACGAGGCTCTGGCGAGGATCGATCGATCGAGGAACGATTGCGCGATAAACGTTGGATCGTCGTTCCTCGATGGGCAATGCTGCGCGACAGGGGACAAGGGGATGGAGACGATTAATTTGGGTAAGATTTCTTTTTATTATTTTTTTCTCTGAAAAATCATTTTTAGAAGTTCTATATTGTTATTTTATTTCGATGACGAAGGTGAATTCGAGTAACGAGATAAGTTAATTGATAAGTATTTTACGACGAGGGTCGATTTAATTGTTGAAATATCTCATCCAAAAAAAATATTTTTAAATTTATATAAATAATTTTATTTATATAATTATTTAATATAATTTAATATAATATAATATAATTAATTGTATAATTAATATAATATAATTAATATAATTATAAATAATTTTTAATTATGTTAAAATTGAATATTAGATACAATTCCAATTATTTTATAAAATTAGAAAAAGTATAGAAGAAATCGTAAATGTGAAAGTTGTTATTATTATAGAAACCTAAAATCTCAAAATTCAAATTTCGCGCCATTTCTTTCGAGCAACCGGAGAAAGAAATATAGAAGGGTTATCCGTATTAAGGAAAATTCACGATAATACACTTTGAGAGAAGTTTGAATAGCAATAGCCAATAACGGAACTGAAGTTTTGTCTCGTGTAACACAAAAATAGAACGAAATATAAATATTTATAATAAAAAAAAAATTACTGAAGAAGTGCTTACTAAATCGCATTTTAAAAGATTTTATTTATTTTATTTTCATTTTAATGGTAAATCAAAGGATGAAGAGATATTTCAAATTCATTATTCCACGATGAAATCATTATTTTTTTAGATCGATCTATTGAAATAATATCGTGATTTACATACCTGTTTTATATATATGTAAATTACAGAACGACACTGATACAGAAAAAGAAAAGAGAAAAATTGTTCAGAAACACTTTATATAATATTTCTATTCAAACATAATTTATGATGTAAAAATCACTCTTTGTTGAATCATCCATCCCGATTAAAAAATTTAGACGAAATTTGGATTATCTTTTAATATCCGTGATGAACGGATTTGTGATTTCGTTTGCAGGATCGAATTACGAGAGGAGAAGCGAGTTTCCTCTTCGAACCGAGTGGATGAGCGACGTGCTGCGCTTCACCCCAAATTTCACGTTCGTTCAAACCGTTGAATGCCGGGAGCAGGTTAACGTTTTCCTACGCGAATTGAGCAATTACAAATTATGGGCCATAGAAAGTGAGTCGAGACTCGATTATCTTTTGAATATTATTATCTTATTGATCTTAATCTTCCATTATTAACCCTTTGCTCTCCAACTAGACTTTCGGTCTAAAAAAAAAATATTTTGTCAAAATCGAATACTAGATATAATTCCAATTATCTTATAAAATTACAAAAAGTATACAAGTAACTTTCCACTGGATTGTTGTGACAATATTTATTTACTTTTATTCATAAATAGATTCCTAAACTCTTTACTATATAATCTTATGAGTAATTTTATCTTATGAGTAATTATCTTATGGTAATCTTATGAGGGTTTGAGTCTGGAGTTGCTTGTTCGACCGAGCGAAACAGGTGTGGAGTGCAAAGGGTTGCAACCCTCCGTTGCATTCTCAATTTGGAGACTTTTTTTATTACACAAAGTTAATTTTTAAATAGACTGAAACAGTCGTATATTTCTCGTGATAAAAATTCGTGCAACGGGGGGTTGAATTGTGAAAAAGAAGAAAAAAGAAATTCGATATCGACGAACGATAAAACAGAGCTCGTTCGAAAATGTTTTTAAAATTATTATATACACGAAAATATAACGGATAAATTCTTTCTTTGTGACCCAGTGTTAGACTCGAACGCGAAACTGCCATCCAGTTTATTGCGAGGGAATCTGAATCAATTTGGGGATTTCGATCAATGCTTGAACGTGATGGCGCACGAGATGTCGAGCGGAAGGGAGATAAAGATACAGGGGAGGTACTTTTTGACGAATATAGGCATCGACGCGACCCATCCACTTACGGAAAATCTGGTTTTCACCATGAAGGCGTATAACTTGTTCACGTCGCGTTTGCACGAAGTAAATTAATTTTCTCTCGTCTCTCTCTCTCTTTTCTAAAATAATTAATCGAGATTTTTGGAAAATTTTTCGACATTATAATTCCTGTGCACGAATCGAGAAGGGAACGTTTCGAGATTAAACGAGCTCGATTTTGTTCTGGCAATCTTTTTTACAGAAACGTGGACACTTTTTCCCAAAATTTTCCGTGGTAAGGTGGGCGTTGTGCCTTCCGTCCGCTTGCTCGAACGAGGACGCGAGAAGCGTAATTCAACACACGCTGAACAGTTATAATTCAACAATGGGGATTAAATTTATGGTTCGCGTCGATCCTAACATGAGCTACGTGAAGCACGAGTCATCATCGAGTTACGCGAAAGAGACAATCTACGTTTTGTACGTATCATATATATATAAAGGGTGTCCCAAAATTCAGGCAAGAATTTTTATAGGAAACGCTTTAAAAATTGTAAATTTTTTATTGATTCATGTCCTCTTTTGTCCAAATTTTCCACGATCGTTTCGCGTGAATATGGCTAAATTTCTTATAAACAGCGCTAAATTTCCACCTTCGAGACGTGGCAAACCTTAGACTTCAAACGAGCCCAAGGAAAAAAGTCGACGGGCGTTAACCAGCACGATCTGGCCGCCCGATTCCGATCACCGAAAATTACACGACCCGGAAATGACTCGCGCAATGCTTGACTAGCTTCTCGAGCTGTATGGCGCGTGGCATATTTCCGCGCCCATATCTCGCAATTTAGGCGCGAAAAATGGGATTATGGAGCGCCGTTCGCGGTCGTTGCTTGCCCAGCCGCATTTCGAAGAAGAGCGAGCCGATGAATGCCCTCCAACGCGAAATTCCCGCCAAAAAGCGACGCGTTGCGGATGCGTCTGTTTCTCGACGATCGCCCGCGGATATTCCGAGCCCCAAATGCGACAATTTTCTCCGATTAACCGATCCATCGAGATGAGAACGAGCCTCGTCGTTGAACGTGATTTTGCTCGAGAAACCTTCGTTATTTTTAAAACGTCGCTCGACGATGAAAACGCGTCGCTCTTTCGCTTGAACTGTCATCTGTCTTTTTCTTTTTTTCGTTGGCAACACTTTTACTTCTCGCGCGAAAATTCAAATCTCGTTTGAATTTTGGAACACCCTTTACATATATACACATATATTTCAATTAAGAAAATTCTAATTAATTCATTCGCATTCGAAAAGAAGAAAATCTGACAACGAATGAGTCACACTACGACTCTCTTATTACTCCTTTAATCGTTTCTTTAATCGTAGATGTTTCTTTGCAATTGTCGCATGTCTCGTTGCAGCAACAACGATGAGAGATTACTTGGCGACGCGTGAGAGAGAGAAAGGTAATCAATTTTTCACCATCAACAAACACCAACAACAATAATAACAACAATCGACTTATTTCAAATACCATTGCCCCCGTAGAGAACAGTTTGGAGAGGATAGCGATGGGATTCTCGTTACGAAGGACCGCGAAATCTTTGTTCAAAAAGGAAACAAGTCCCAACGATATCACGTGCATACACGGGATGAAATCCATTTTGGCCATATTTATATATTACGGGCACAATATCATGATAACGTCCGTAACGCCGTATATAAATCGAATCTATTACGTGAACGTAAGAACGAAAAGACTCCACTGTTCACAATTCACCGGCCTCTTTTTTTAAAATAATATATATTTTTAAAATACTTGTAATATTTAATTTGTGTTAATCCCTCGATTATAATTTTGCTAGTCGAAGAAAATCCTCCCTCTCTCTCTCTCTCTTGGAAAAAGTAAACGCACATCGAGAGAGAGAGAGAGAGAGAGAGAGAGAGAGAGAGAGAGAGAGAGAGAGAGAGAGAGAG